CCGATATCAACTTGGCATATTGAGCTTATCTTTAAATAAATATAGACACGTCAATATTTTTTTCATGTAACAGTTTACTGAGGGTACATTCTGAGAATAAGCAGCAAAAATGATTTTCCCTTTGAATCCGCGTGTTCATCATAAAAATGTCCGTGCCCTCCGAGAGGTCTTAGTGGAATACGTAGGTTTCGTTTCATGTATAAGCACATATTTTCTTTTCGTGTCCTGAAAAAAAGTTAAAGTGGTTACCATACACGTAATCATAATTGAGAATAAAATAAAGCGGTTAATGCTTTAAATATTATTTAAAGCATTAATATTTGAATACAATCTTAAACTACAAATTTTTAACTAAAAAATGCATCAACTATTTTTCATTTTATTAATGAGTTAGGTCGAGATATTTCTCATGAATTAGTTTTTGAGCGTTTCGACCGAGGGTCCACTTCCTAGAGCCTATTATTCTGTACAATATATTTATCTAGCACTCCCAGGGTAGCATTTTGTCTACTTCTGCTAAATTTTAAAACTTGCCAAAGAAACTTAGCTTTAACTACAAATTTGTACGATAGAATAAATAATGTAGGTAAATTTCAGACTCGCAAACTATTCGATTTCGATATTGGTTCGTGCTAAGGGTACATCAATAGTACTTCTGACGTAAAGTGTTCAATACAACGTCAATGCTAAACCCACGCCCACGCCTATCTATCCTAATCCTAACCTATCAGGGTTTTAAAATTCCTACACCTGTAGTAACTAAATTAAGCCCTGATACCTCTCTATGATTATAAAAGTATATATGCAGATATTTTGTACTGCACTTACCTAATTATATTATAGGTACTTACATTGTGATACGACTTTTTACGAAGTTTACCATGTATTTTTTTACGTGAAAAATGTGGAATATTTATAGATAAACAAATAAAATAAAGAAGGTTTTTTTTTAATTTTATTAGTAAAATTTCTTAACAACTAGATTCTTACGCCCTAAATGTTCTGTTAGTATGTAAACGTTTAAGGTGCAATAAAACTGGTAACATATTCCATTAATACGTGTTTGCAAAACATCAACATGAAATTAATGTCACTTAAAACGGCCTCTATTTAATTTCCAAATAATATTGATTTGTAAAGCTGGACAAAAAAGCTAACAATTACAGTATGGAAAGTAGAATTTTGGCAAATAAACAGGATGAAAAAGGACCAAAATGGTTCTTTTCAAATTCAAATAAAACTTTAAACAACTCAACAGATTAGCAAGTGGCAAAACCAATTGTTCTATTTTAAACATAGTAAATAATTTAAAATTCAAAATTCTATCTATCTAATACACATATAACAAGAAAAATGTCTTCAACTACTATATTGTTTAACACTGATTTGATTATCTGGTATACTTTTGTTGAGTGATACATACATTTATTATAATAAGCAGTAATCGTCGTTTTCGCTGATACACATTAACTTAATATACATAGAAGTTAATTATGTCAACGCTCAACTAAAAGTACTGATAATATTTTATAGACAGATCTTAATTAAAATAAACACAATACATATAACTAGCTCGCTGTGTTCGAACGAGAAAACAGCAAATAGTGCTCGAAAACCCAACTCATGAATATACTATGCTAATATATTAGTAGAAAATAAATGAGTTCAAATACAAAAGGACAGTTTTTCTTTTATTTTTTGCCTTAACAATCTATATCTACTACAGATAGTCTACTTAAATTATTGAAAAATAGATACTTGCATTCTGTTTTTTTATTGCACAATTATAATTTGACTAGACTAAATAAATAGAGGATATTGAAATTCCTTGACCGAACCCAAAATTTCGTCTTTAAAATTCTGAGGTGTAATATTCAGTAAAATATTGAAAAGTTATAGCTAATGTTATTTCCTTTTTAATGAAAAATAGATAATATTAATAATTATAATCCTTGTGCCTATTTAGCAACAGAAGTAATATTTTGTAAGATTGATTTGATTATCAAATACGTTTATGTGTATATATCATCGTATATCTAGGTATCGTCATCATCGTATATTTTGGTAACGGTCAGGGTATTTTATGAAACGTGGTAAGTAATAAATAGTCACAATTAATATTTTTTCTGTGAAAATAAGAACGAAACAGCTTGGCAATAGTTTAAATTCGCTGCCGATCTAAACAATAGATATGCTAAGATACATCATCACAAGAGTTTATAATGCTGCGTTTCTAACTCCTGCTCAGAACAGTCCCGAGGGAGCAAACATTTCTTCGCTCGGTAAATGGTATGCATAAAACAATATTGCGTTGTTTCCACTGATGACTGTACATGAGAGCATTCTTTCCCCAAGTCCAGTAAAACATTGTTGTACGAACTCGTTCGCTCGCTCTGATGTTTCCCTTTACCTGGCGCGCAAATGTTTGCTCGTTCATAACTGTTCTGAGCTTAAGAGCCCTTTCACATGTTTTGCAAAAAATCGTAATTTTTGAGCGCCTCGTTTACCCTTTTAGAAAAGATTTTGACTATTTCCAATAAGTAAACAGTAGATTTATTCATCTTATTGTAAGTTAATGTAGAATACTTGAAAATACTGCTTTCCTTTTTTTGTACTGATTGTTCTACTGCAGCTAGTTTACGGAAAAAACGATAATATGGCCAACGAGGCGTTTGACGCCTCAATCTCTCAATAATGTTCAATAAATTAGAACAAATTAATTACTACGACAACAGAAATATGTTTTTGTTGTAACATAATGTTTTAGAATGTGGATTTTCTATTTCATTAATTATCAAAAAAAAACATCTAACCTCCGTGAGTTTTCCCAAAAAATAATGCAGGTTTACCTCGTATTTTCATATTGAATTAAATAGAATTACTATCAAAAACTTTCATAAAACTAATGTACTATCATTGAACTACTGAAATATGTATATATTTTTATAGTAGTTCATTAATATTTATTTTATAAGACTTGAAACATCACCCGCAAAATGCAATATATAAATCTACCTACGCGCCGATCAGTAAGGCAGTGGTGCAATTTTGTAAAAGGGCTCTTAAGTGGAAACAAAGCACCTGACGAATGACCAAATAATTAAAATAGCCCGTCCTAATATTAGGTCACATGCACTATTAGCTTAAAAGATTATTGGATCCGTCCACACATATAGTGACGTTTTAGAAGTTTTGCGGTAGTACGGGAAAATATTCAAATTTATACTAAAGGACGCACATCATTACATTAATTTTATCCCTGTCGAAACATTAATGAGTATAGCGTTTGAGGAACGGTTTCGGTTTAAACAGTTCGAAAATGTTATACCTAATGTACAACAGCATTGAACATGAAATGGTTTCATTGTCAACTTCAATATTAACTACTTATAATATCTCCTATTATGTTTAGAAAAACGAATAAAAACCTACACCGCTCCTAAAGATATAAAAGGAGCTTTTGAAAAAAGAAGAATATTTACGAGAACTCAAATAAAACAGTTGAATAAATTGTAGAGGATATGTCAATTGACTAAACATGAATCACAATTTTTCATTCCCTTTCCTCAGATAGTTTTAGATAAAAGTTTAAAACATATTTTTAAAATTGAGGCACGAAAACGCTTACCCTTTTTGAGTCTGACTTTATTCATATTAATTTCCAAAATACAAATTCTTACATTTAATATCGCCCCATTATAACTAAATTAAAGTACGATCTTTAACGTTGGGAATATTCATACCTCAATAAATATTTACTAGTTAACATCCCTACCAATAAAAACATGACAATCATTAGTTACTGCTAGAGTCTGTCGGGTGAAAGTCGATAAAAGTGCGAAGCAGAATATTTAAAGCCACTTTTTGATTGCGGCCCTACAAAATTTTATGAATTGATGATAGGATAATATCACTAGGGCTGACCCTCTCGCGTCCGCGCGTAAGAACACCTATGGGTTCCAAACCTAAAAATACACTACGTTCTTTACGCTAATAGCAAAATTTAAACAAGAAGAGTAGTATTCGCCAGTTTTATCAATTTGTACCAAACAGACTTTAGTAAAATAATAGTCGTTAACACAGAATAGTCATCAAGTTTTGTGTCTCCAAAGTAGTTCCTACACTTATTAAATAAGTATTCAGTTTAAAGTTTGAGTGTAAGGTTCGTAGCATCAGTTGAATCTAAGCAATAAATTGGAGTAGTTTATAAATATCAACAACAATTTTACAAACTACTTAGTACTGTAATTCTAACATACAGATAAACCATTTTAATGGTTCCATTCGATTTTATATTCATTAATATCTATGGAGTAAATGAAGAAAATGTTATAAGCACAAAAGTGGCATGCCACAAACTTTTTCAACTACTTGTATATTAAAAACAGTCACTCGATAAAAGTGAAATTTATATTCCAGTCGTTAAGCTCTTATATGACAAAATATTTCTTACACTATTAAGTGGCTAATTTTCTTCCAATTATTTCTTTTCTTTGCCGAGTAGAGAGAATTGACTCTTTGAGATGTTCCGTAATAACTTTCTAATTTACATACTAAACTATCAGTTCCTGATCAAAGACAATCTTATTTATTCACTGACCACTCTCGTTTCTTCTCATCGCTTGTTCTTTATTACTTATCAATATTACAATTTATTTTTAATATATTATTAAATACGAATCCGTTACCACAAGAAATGAATATTACTCTTCTCTTTTTTTGCGTTTATCAAGGAAACTTCTTTAATTTATTCCAAACTCCATGCACATAAACCAACAATGGGTTTACTCGATAAATATTTTAGATTCAAATTTTATTGACATCTTAGTATAACATACACATAATCTCATGTCTCATTATTTGGTGTAACGGACTTATCGTGTCGGAATCGTGAGAAATAGTATTAAAGTCCCTAAACATGTCTCGTTCTTTGGTATAATGATGTTATCTGTTAAGTCATGTGAAAAAGTTTTAGAATCCTTGCGAGTGTCTGCAAATACCACATCCCAGTGCGAACTCTTCCCCAGTAGGCGGATGTTGAACATGCAACGGGCACTCTTCGGCGGAGCCCGGCAACTGCTCGCCTTTAGGACCTACGTAATAAGGTTCAATATACATACAGAATATTGTCCGGTCTGCTTTACTGAGTAGACAATTTATTTCCAGTTTAATTTTTTTTTTATTTTACACTATTATATCAATCTCTTATCTATTAGACAAGTCCGTCCGTCTGTCTGTGGTGCTGTTTCAGCGGCCAAACCGTAAGAGATAGATAAAGAGAATATTTAAGTTATAAGTTAAGAATAGTCTGATAAGACTACAAACGGGATTTGAGTAACGTAGCACTTCCGGTTTTCGAGAAATCACGAATTTCAAACGAAACCACACAAAATCTCCGAAGTTCTCAATAAATTAAATAGATTTTTTTAAAATCAGGTTTTGGTGAACATTTGGTTCACTGGTTTGCTAGTTTATTTATAATGGATAACTTTTCGTGAAATTTATGTGAATTTAATCAGTTAGTTGCTATAAATTCCATTATATATATATATATAGTTATAAATAGCGCATGCTATTTGTACCTATATATACAAAATCAAAGTAAGTAAGTAGTAATTAAGTGTATTTTAGATGTCTTATTATTTTTTCCTCAAATAACTCTTTAATTTTCAACTGGCAATTTATTCTTAAATGGTTTTTAACACTATAAAACCAACTCACCCACGGGACACTGCGGCAATAGGTGCTTGGGGATGTTAGTAACACGCTGGAAGTCGTCGTGGCACGCGTTGCAAAAATGAGATGTGCCGAAGCAGAAGAACACCGCAACCTAGCACAAACCACGTATTGTATTTGTACAAAAATAAATGGCATTATTTCGGGTAATCGTATTTATTTATATCCATAGTTCGCGAACATCAAAACATTGTAAACGCTGAACGAATATTATGCAGCTATACACCTGTGTGAATTTATTACCTACATGACCAGGTCTCACTGACTTTCTGGGCGGTATTAGTACATTATTGTTGTCCGAAAATAATCGTACATGTTTGCTAGACTATTTTAAAATCATGCCTTATTTATTATGCCCTTTGTTAGACATTTGTCACAGCGTAATCGATAAAATCAGTAATTACGGTCGATGTTGACAAAAAATCCACCAACGTCCAGACAGTTGGGAGAATATAAGAGTTGACGCGTGTTACATGTAGATTGAAATATTTTTTTAATAAATATGTCATATTAAAACTCCTCGTAGTCACTGTATGTATTATATAAATGAGTCGCTATTAAGGTCGTACACATAGTTAACGCATAATTCACAAATGAGTAACTGAACAAGCTTTGGGATCTTTTCGAACAGCTTAATTTCAAATATCTATTTATTTTTTAATATAACTTATAATCAATACGCGTTCTAATAGATAAATTTACTGGAAAATAAAAAAAAAACATATTAACGATTTAATTTTCTCTCTCACTGCCTCTGTGGCTTCAATGACTGACAGTACGTAACGTATAACTAGACTGTGCGTTCATCTGCGTGGCAATTAGCATCTGGCACATTCCGTGATTATAAATAACCGAAAATAATAAACGTAAACAACCGAAACTAACACAGAAGTAATAAACATACAAGGTAAGGTCACAATGGAATTAGTTCTCACCGAGCAGCAGTAGCGGCATTTGTATTCGAGAAAGTCCGCGCCGTGTTTGGGGCAAGTGCGGGCGCCGGCGACGTCGCTGCATGCGCCGCAGACTAGCTCCGTTGGCTCCCACCAACCACTGGTTTCGGCTTCACACCTCGCCAAACCACCGAAATATGCCTAATAGAAGAAACTTTTTTTGTAACATCATCTCCGCTGGCTATATTGAAGGTTATGTCTAAGCGAGGACAACACAAAGTCTTCTAAAGGGGTTTGTAAAGTTTGATCGATACCCGAAGGCCGTAAAGGCAAATTTTGTTGTTGTTTACAACCCTTAAAGGTATTATTGTCTGCCGAAAAGGTGAACTGACTAGCTAGGTTTCATTATATAAATATTAAAGATTTAATTGAATTCCTTTTAGATTAATAATGTTACACGACTTATTAATTTGGTGAAGAGAGAAACAAAACATAAGATGTAGGGCATAAGGAAGTCGCGTTGGAATCGCCATAAACGTTAAATAAAAGCGCAATAAAGTTGTATTCAGAATTCTAGTCTGTTATGGCGGCATTGCACTTGTAACAAAACATATGCTTATTTATAACAGACTTTTGAGTTTTTCACTATTATATCCAGTACCAGATAGCCAATTAAAATCTATTAATATAATATTCGGTAATTCACACGAGCACTTGAGCTAGACTGCTAAATGTACATTGTTTTAATGCCAATGCAAAATTATATTAAATTACAGTCATTCGGTAGAAACGAAAAATAAAATTTTATGCTACATTAAGTCGTGTTATCTTTAACTTTTGTTTTCGCAATAAAAAGTGACAACCTTAACTTTAAACATAATCTATCCATGGCCTAAGTGGTGAGGTCGAGGCAGGGGCTAGCACGCTCAGGTTAAGAAATCAAGAAGTTCTTTCACGGGAAAAGTGTTTACGGAACCGCCGCGGGCAGATTCAGAGCTTTTGAAACTCACGAGACCGGGCGAAATCCACCGCGTCTGCTGGTGCCAAATTTAAAAGGAATCCAACGGATGCCAATCGTGTCAGATATAGGGAAATAAGGAATCGCTGCAATACATTTATCAGAAAAAAACTAAAACGCCACATTCATACGTCTGTCGAAAATGGTGACTCGGCCAAAGTTTGGCTCTTTCTCAATATGCTTGGTATTGGCAAATCTAAACGCAACTCTACCTCAGCTTCAATGCTTTAAATGCTCACTTTTCCTTATCTGCGTCCATAGATGGAATAATCAAAAGTCATACTTTGAATACGCTTTCTTCGTCGCCAACACCATCGTTTACTCCTTTTTTCATAAAACAAATTACTAAGTGTAACATTGAGAAGAATATCATGGCTGCATCGTCCCATGCCGTAAGTAGCGACTGCATCAGTCGTAATATGATCATACCTCTTCTAGATATCCTCACTCCTGTAATTACGAAAATCCTTAATAAATCCATATCGTCATTTGTTTATGCTTCGACATGGAAAGAAGCTAATCTTATTCCTTTACCTGAGAAATCCAAACCTGATTCCTTCTCTGACTATCGTCCTATTTCAATATTGCCTTTCCTTTCCAAAGTCCTCGAAAAATTTGTTCATCAACAATTAAGTAGATTCCCTTCCATGAACAATCTTCTAAATCCATTTCAATCCGATTTCCCTCCCGGTCATAGTACGACTACTGCACTTGTCAAGATCGCAGATAATATACGTGTGGGTATGGAAAATCGGCAGCTCACTGTATTAACGCTGCTGTTAAATTTTAGTAACGCATTTAATATGGTTGATTTTGATATTTTATTGGCAATGTTGGTTTATCTCAATGTATCTCCACCAGTGATTGATTGGTTTCATAGCATGGGCGGCGGCAGAGCATATGCGTGGATGGATATTTTTCATCATGGTGCGATACAAAAGCCGGCGTTCCGCAGTTTGGTGTTTTATCTCCTCTTCTCTTCTCTATATTCATAAATTCAAATACTCTTACTCTCTTTTCTTACTATCATATGTATGCGGACGATCTCCAAATATATACTCAAACTTCTATAGATGAACCACCTACAACCATCGTAGTTACCAACAACGATCTGGAACACATATCTGACTGGAGTCGGCGACACGGTCTGTTGGTTAACCAGCGCAAAACTCAGGCTATAATTATTGGAAGCTATTGGTATAATGTTAGAATTAACAAGAGCGCTCTGCCACCGTTCTTGTTAAATGGCATCCACATACCACTTCAGGGCACTGTAAAAAATTATGGTGTGTTGTTTGACATTAACTTGTCGTGGAGCACGTATAGCTCACTGAAAGCCTGAAAAACCAGTAGTATGCGTATCTGTCGATAGCGTAGGTAGCGAGGTCGAGGAGGGGGCGGGGACCCTCGTACTGAGTGTCATCAACGTCTCGCGCCATACTCTAACAGGGACCATAATATGCTGGCATATGTTGACTCACCCGCTTGCATTTGTAGCACACGCAGTAGGCGTGTCTGTCCATGGCATAAGAGGCGGGGTCGAGGGGGAGAGGTGGTCACACCCTCATAATGAGTGTCATCAACGTCTCGCGTCATACTCTATCAGGAAAGATATGCTGCCATATATTGACTCACCCGCTCGCACTTGTGGCACACATAGTAAGCGTATCTGTCCATGGCGTAAGTGGCAGGGTCGAGGCCGGGGCGGCCCCGGGGCGCTCCTGGGACGCTTACGCCTTCGTACTCGAGTCTCATCAACGCCTTGCGACGAACTTCGTCACGAAGCCGTCTAATCGGGTCTAACAGATCCTCCAGAGTCCAGTGGTTCATATCCTCCTGTAAAGGGAAATTTTTGATCTTAGAAAAGTATTATTTTTTAATTGTCATACTGACTTATCTCTAAAGTTTTAATGAAATTACCTTGCATATTGGGCATTGGGAAAACGAGAAAGTGATTCGCGGTCCGATCCATTTGTTGGCGAGCACTTTTTTGCAGCAGTGCAGGTGGAAAACGTGCCCACACGACAACTGCAATGAAAACAAATTATGAAATACTTAATGCAAGTGTATTTAAAGCATGACAGCATTTCTGGGCAAGATAAGGGTATGTTTTTAAGTTTCAGTCGGTCACAAGTCAAATTACCCAAAACTGACAAATCTCCAAATGAATGAGCTTAATAATGTTTAAAGTTTCACAACGTAAAAAGAAAATCCATCAGTTTGAGGTAACATGATGTGTGCATTTGTGTACCAGCAAAATTTGCAACTGGAAATAACGCGGGTCTTACGTGCGAGTTGAGATTCCCGCGACTGGTGCGCGACTCACACGCGAGAGCATGTGGACGTAATGTTTGAGCCTCTAGTATCTCGCGTTAACGGGTTATAACTCGCGCGTAAATCACAATCTAGACATGCACTAAGAGTAGATAATTATTTTCTGGCTACTTTAGATTGACGAGCTCCGCGGCTCGAGTGGTATGTACGCCGATTTTCAAAGTGGGTTTCACTGGGACCTCTGAGTGAATCCCAGTGGGGCAAATGTTTTCGTGATGAATACGAGCATTTGTACCCAAAACATGTTTATTTGTTTTTTTTATAAATGTAAATGTATTATATCCGCCACCCTTAGTATTCCGTAACACACGCCTTTCAGTGATTACTTTGAGGCTAGGCTAATTGGTGTGTGTGTTCGAAATATTCATTTACCTACTCTTAGTGCCTGTTGGAGACTATCAAAAGAAGAAAGGTAGCCTTTCTTGGTCATATTTTATGACATGAGAGCTATCATCTTCTCCAGACTGTAATGATCGTCGGAAGAAGGAACAAGTTGTGGCAATGAAACATCATAGAGTGATTGCTGGCGCCAGCTTGGAAGATCTATTTCGTTTGTCACGAGACAAAGACAAATACGCAGAGCGGACGGCCAGCCTCCAGTAGTGGTGAGGCACCATAAGAATAGGAAATGCCTGTCTAGCACCCGAACAGGCACGGCAAACACTGCGGCTCTCCTCGGTACACAATGTGCTGTATGGCTGCGTTGTACTATGAGCAGGAACCTGTATGGCGGGCGCAGCCTGCAGCGGGTCGGTGAAGCATATCATGCACATGTCGTCGGCGTCCTGCCGCAGCGGCACGTCGCGCCCGCACCCGATCAGGCACGGCAGACACGGCGGCTCCCCTCGGTACACAATGTGCTGTATGACTGCGTTGTACTATGAGCAGGAACCTGTATGGCGGGCGCGGCCTGAAGCGGGTCGGTGAAGCATATCATGCACATGTAGTCGGCGTCCTGCCGCAGCGGCACGTCGCGCCCGCACCCGATCAGGCACGGCAGACACTGCGGCTCTCCTCGGTACACAATGTGCTGTATGGCTGCGTTGTACTATGAGCAGAAACCTGTATGGCGGGCGCGGCCTGCAGCGGGTCGGTGAAGCATATCATGCACATGTAGTCGGCGTCCTGCCGCAGCGGCACGTCGCGCCCGCACCCGATCAGGCACGGCAGACACTGCGGCTCTCCTCGGTACACAATGTGCTGTATGGCTGCGTTGTACTATGAGCAGGAACCTGTATGGCGGGCGCGGCCTGCAGCGGGTCGGTGAAGCATATCATGCACATGTCGTCGGCGTCCTGCCGCAGCGGCACGTCGCGCCCGCACCCAAACAGGCACGGCAGACACTGCGGCTCGCAGCGCACGCCGCCGCACATGTGGCCGCACCCTAACACGCGGTTGCACGCCTCGCGACCGTGCTCCTACAAACAATCAACTCAGTAAATATTTTATTAAGCGACAATCCGCCTTATTACAAAAGTAGACTAAAGTTAAACCTGGGCTAAAACTGATGCTGTCACCTTTGTTTGCTAAAATGAAGACAGGCAACATTAAGTTTAAAACAAGGCTAACTTTAGTCCGCGTTTTGGAATAAGGAGAAATCAGTTAACGACTTTATACAAATCAAAGGTGTGTTGTTAAAATAAATATAAAACGGTAAAATACGATCTGGTCTTAGAAATTTCGCAATCCTTCGTGATCTTAACAATACCTATTCAGTAAACAATTTTACTCCTTTACAGTACTTCATATAAATAAAAATTGCTGAATATACGCATATAATAGACTTTGACTTATTCAAACACAATAATTTTAAGACAAGTCGACAATCAGACGAACTACACGTTCAAAGTATTTTTAATTGGCATTAATTATACAAGTAGGTATGCTCAATAAACAGACTGGCGTCTATTTCTTTTTAAAGATAGTATATTTATTGACTATAATATATATACACATATTATGATATGAATAAGCCTATTATAGTAGGATGAAATATTGTTAGATATAATAGTTATCTATGCATGGTTTATATGTGGAGGTTTTTAATGCTGTTAGAAATTATTTTTTGTTTGATAGATAGCTGTAAACCTTCCTTTATTAAAATAAATAAATATTATAACTATTTCTATCACATATATTAACAAAAAACAAGCTTAATTGACCTGACACTGCTGGTCGTCTCTCCCACAGCAATCTCATCTACTGCATCCATCTCCCTGAATTCAGCTAATTCAACACCTTCTGCATACGACGGTCGACCTATAGCGGAACAATTTAGACCGCCCGATAATAACAAAAGAATTACGCTAATTTCACCTGACACTGCTGGTCCGCGCACACATTTCCTATAGCCAGCAGTCCCGTACTCCCCCTGGCGCAGCAGAAGCGACAAGTACCAGCGAAGCCCGTCTCTCCCACAGCAGCCTCTTCTATTGCATCCATTCCCCTGAATTCAGCCAACGCCTTCAGCGTACGACGATCGACCAATAGCAGAAGCCAAAACAACTTAGCCCGCCCGCAACCTTCGTGGATGTCCACGCGAATCGCGCTCTCCTCCTCTTTGCATATCTGTTTGAAAATATTTTACGTTTAAATGTGGGAGTTGGAATCATTGACCAACAGTTATGATAAAGTTGATATTTTGATTTTTACAATCTGTTGATGGATTAAGTCTAAATTTTAAGATTTTCCTGTAACGCATTCTATTTAAAAGTATTACGTTAATTTTAACTGAAACTATATCATTTAAATCATGACTACTGGAGTGGTCATGTAATCTAATAACTGTGAATGAAGTGTGAAAATTGTGATGCCCTTAGATGATACTAGGGGTCGTTACGTTTCAAGGGGTCACCACTCAGCTTTAAATGCGCTATCTGTAGCCTCTATTTGTAGAAATAATATAGCTGAAAATAGTGAATTTAATTAAGATTACTTGTCGTTGGTGCGTCTTGGCGACGCGTTTGAGATGCAAAAACCGATCGCATTCGCCGCAAAGAGGTCCACAAGTGCGGCATTCTATCACCGCCGCCGTCGCTCCGTCATCGTGGTTCGAGCAGAACGGTCGCGCTTCGAGATCGCGACGTGACTCACGACCTTCGCCGCTACCGTTGATGCTGCAAACGAAGATATGTTACGACGCTTTAAAGGCTAATATTTTTATTTCCTACTGTTATGTTTCGGATTAGAAAGTATTTAATTACATCCACAGACCAGTTGGACTGAATATCATTTAATGTAAGTCATACATGTAACAAAGGATCCATTCTTTTCTCCACACAAATTTAATACGACGCTAGACGAGGCATTTGTGTGTACGGTCGCGGTCAGAAAATGTTTACCACCTTAAGGATCATAAAGCCACGTTTTTACTAGGGGACATTTGTTCCGCGACCTTGTCGCCCGACACGCAATTTACGTGTCCCGCGAGATGTCGCCCGACGTTGCTTGCAACATTCACGAGTTGCGAGACTTGTCGCACGCTCACAGAGCATCGACACGCGCGACTTCGTGTCCCTCGACAGTCGCCCGACAGGCTTTGAGTAGTGAGGATGCGTGTCGCTTTGTATTCTGAAAATGGCAGTAGTTTGGACCAACGAGAATACATTGACCCTCATCAAGTTGTACCAAAATTAGCATTACAATGACGCATGGGAATCCATGGCGACTACAATGAATATACCTAGAAAAGACGTCGAGGTGAAAATACACAACATGCGGTCTCAGTTTCTCAGGGAGAGAAAAAAAATGCGAATACAAAATCTACTGGAAGTGGAAGAGGAAATGTTTACATTAGTAACTGGTCTGCGTATGATTCGCTGCTTTTCCTGTTAAAAGGGGCACAAGTTCGGGTAGCATGGACACTATGAATGCACAGGTAAGCTGATCATAATAGGTTTGTATTTTTTTTTTATTTTGTACCTACTAGTTTGCACATGGGTTTTAGTTTAATAATTTGACAAAAAGAAACAAAAATTTAGGGCAAATTCCGGCGTATATTCAGATATCCATTTTTTGTGTCTTTATACGACATGTTGTACTAGGGCTGTTATAAATCAGTACTAGGGCTGTTATAAATACCTACCCTAGGTAAGTATACAGTTTTTGTTATTTGCTGTTTTTTGTTGCTTAGGGTTCCGCGACTCAAAAGGAACCCTTATAAGGATTACTCGTTGTCTCCCATCTGTCTTATGTCTGTCTGTCAATCAAGAGAGATTAAGATAGGTAGGGCATAGCGGATTTTCTGCTCAAATTGGAGCGCCCGTCTGGGAAATTAACCTCCACCTTACAGAAGACCACAGTAAAATAACAGTACTATGTAGTGGTGGTGGTGCTATTGTATTTCTGTCAGTGAGTAAGGTTCCAGGGCTGCACGGGGTAGGGGATGAGGTCAGGGTAGGCAACAGTGTGAGCGATTGCATTGGTGTCGCAAGCGTCTTTAGGCTATGGAGGCCGCTTACCATCAGGCGAGCCATGTGTTTGTTTGCCACCCTTTTAACATATAAAAAAAAACTTTTTCTCAGGGACGCGTGGAGGTTTCAAGTTGTAACTATTATCAGATACTAAGGTTTGCAATCCTTTAAAGCTCTGATATAATGGCTTTGTTTATAAAGTTTTTTTTAACTTGTTTTTGCTCTATTTTACAAACATCTGAAAAGGCGGTGGCACACGAAGAAATAACAGCGGCTTCGCAAGAATTGACGCAGCTACCAGAGGCACCAACGTCGCCGCCATTATCAACGCAACCAATACCGATACCGCTTACAAGTACTCAGAATAAAAGGAAAAAAGATGATCTCAGTCAGATATATGAAATAATGAAGAGCACAAAAACAAAGATGGATCAACCAAAAGATGAATTTCAAGTTTACGCCGAGTATGTAGCTACTGAGCTAAGAAATATAAAGAATGAACATGCTGTGCTACAGGCGAAGTATTTTATTAATAATATCTTATTAGAAGAAAAATGGGAAAATACAACTATACAGGATACGAAACGGGATCTAATTTGAACCATCCTCAAAGTTATGGATACCGTTCTGCTTCTCAACAGTCATTCTCTTCAACAAATTCTGTTAACAACGATAACGTAACAGCTAATGCAAATGCTTCTAATGATAAAATGAGAATGGAGCATCTGAACCAATTTTCACAGAATTACGACAATTTGAAAATCTTCAGGAACTAGTTTCTCATTTGGAATCAAAAACCTAGAACAAAGAATAATTATAATGTACCAATAATAATGTTTGATTTCTTTCACTTTTACAAAGATGTAGATGTACATATAAAAAGGAATAATAAATAAATACTTAACTCAAAATAATAAAACTTTTATTTAGAGAGTTACATTATAATACCATAAGTGTTTTTAATAATACATATGTCATACTATGATTGATTTGTTTGCCATGGCACACTTCCTTGTACACTAGAGAAATATTACCACAGCGGGTTGAGAAGAAGGTCTACCTTGAATACTTAAGTCTCTCATATTATTGTTTGTCAATTCCCTTCACCACGAACCTTCCACTACATTATGAGCAGCGTCTTCAAAATCGAATGTAGTATTTGGTGTATTTCGCGCGCTTGAAGATATATCACGTCTCAAGAAATTATGTAGGTACACGCAAGCCATTACAACTAATTCAGCGTTTACTGGACGTAATGGGATAGGTTTACGAAATACGCGAAACGCTTCAGACATAATGCCAAAAACATTTTCAACAATTGTTCTTGCTCTTGAGAGCCTGTAGTTGAAAACCCGCTTTAAGCTTCCCTTTTCATGAATACCGGGATAGGGCCTCATCAAATTTTCAGATAGTGCAAATGCACTATCTCCCACTAGAACGTATGGTACATTTGGACCGCCTTGGATCAGTGGCTCAGGATCTGGTAAATTCAATGACTGTTCATTTAGTGCTTTATAAAATAAAGTCTCCTGGAACACTCCACTGTCAGATGATTTACCTTTTGCGCCACAGTTTACATCTACAAAGTTATATTCGGCATCTACAACTGCTAACAGAACTAAGCTAAAATTTTCTTTATAATTATTATAATCACTGCCAGAATTGAGTGGCGCTTCTAGTAAGACATGCTTCCCATCAATCGCTCCGATGCAATGAGGAAAATTCCATAATATTTCAAAATGACGAGCTTTTTCCATTCATTTACATTGGTTGGAATCTGAAAGCCCAGAATTTAATGCGAAGTATTATTAAATTATCATACATTATAAAAAATCAATAAAAACTTTAAAAAATAACAATAAATATTACCCTGTAAATAAACTCACTTTTACAGAAGAATTTAATGCCTTTATTAATTCTTTGCAAACTTCTGATATAGTTTGACAAATTACTTGTTTTGACACTCTAAAAGTATAGGACAATGAACCATAACTATCTCCGGTTGCCAAGTATCTCAGTGTTATAGCGAGTCTGATGTGAGGTTCGATAGCTTTCCGGAATTTTGTATCTTGCTTTACTATGGCTGGCCCAACCATATTTAACAGTATTTCGAAATCGGTTCTAGACATTCTAGTAAAATTTTCAAAAGATCCGTCACGCATAACAAGACTGCTTATCAAATTCGACCTTTCCCTTTGTAGTAAATATTCTCGAACCCACCACCTTTTTTTACGGTTTGCCATAGTCTTCCGAATAATTTTGTAAGCTGCACTGAACAACATTCTGATCACCAACTGGCTAGTGTAAACAAGTCATATGTCGAGGAACAAAGTTGCAGAGACATACCACGTAAATGTCGAGCGATATGTCTCCGCGACATGTTGCCTAGTGAATACGCGGCTTAATTGCATGCACACATTTAGGTCACAAGTTCTAATGTGTTTATTATTTGATTGACCATAGATTATCTTTTTTGTAATGATATGACAATCAATCGCTCTAGGCGATGGACTGACTACTATGAAGGTGACTGACTACTATCAAGGTTTGATATATATTTATATATATACATATATAAACGACTTTCTTTTCTTTCTTTCTTTAGTTGGTGTGAAACCGTTCTCTTCATAACGATGAATCATTTCTGTTATTTGCGCGGTGGTTAGAATTGGTCGTCGTCCTGAATTATTTCTATGATCTGTTAAGTGCCCTTCTTCACCGTAACGCCGGATCCAAGACCTCACAGTGAATCGCGATATATTGAGTTCTCGTGATATATCACTCATACTTCTCCATCTTCGAAGAGAAATATTATTTCAGCCCTTTACTCCAGCGTCAAACTTGTCATTTTATTTCGTTATGAAAATATTATTCGTAAAATTCTGCTCTTGTCCAAACAATGTTCAAACAATCACTTTTATATAAATGTAATTTCAACAAATAAAGAAATTAGTTTCAATATCAAAAAGTAATATATAATTCTTTTTGTTATTCTCGATGCGTCATATTGCATAATAACTTTTGAAAGGTAATAAGTTACTTGAATTGGTATTTTAGAATTTAGTGAAAAAAGTGTGACATAGAATCTAATTTCAAAACTGGTAAACATTTTCTGACCGCCACCGTACATATGCGAGACAAGAGAGTGACTTACAGGTCGAGATGGTCCTGCGAGCAGCCGCAGAGCGCGGCCAGCGTCATCCACACGGCGGGCGCAGCGATACAGCTCGCGGGTCTGCAGTCGCGCTCCCCAACTTGACCCATATAATATGACGCAAAGATATGAGGCATCTGTGTGTACATATGCGGGACAAGAGAGTGACCAACAGGTCGAGATGGTCCTGCAAGCAGACGCAGAGTGCGACCAGCGTCATCCACACGGCGGGCGCAGCGATACAACGCGCGGGTCTGCAGTCGCGCTCCCCAACTTGACTCATATAATATGACGCAAAGACATGAGGCATATGTGTGTACATATGCGAGACAAGAGAGTGACTCACAGCTCGAGATGGTCCTGCGAGCAGACGCAGAGCGCGGCCAGCGTCATCCACATGGCCGGCGCAGCGATACAACGAGCGGGTCTGCGATCGTGCTCGGCCACTTGGGCGATCTGACTCACGTATAACGCTAGAGCGCTACGCGTCTCCTGGCCCCAGGAAGCTGACACTTTGTCCTGCACACACAAGATCAACATTACAATCTTTTGCAAAAGCGTTCTTTGGAAGTAATAATATTATTATAGTATATAATATTATTTATTAATCATTTACATAATGCCGCGTGATATTCAAATTGAAGAAATGGATAGGCAGATACCAGATAGACTAAATAGACGAACGAATTACTAGGCATTTTTATTCCCTAGTGGTCTTAAATAGCAAGTTGGCATATTTCATATTAAGTTCAGAATGCCGTTTTCCTTCGTATTTACAATCTTAGAAACAAGATATTTTTTTAAATAAATTCGTTAAATAAATAAATACAAAATTCCTTATTATCCCCAGGTATATAGAAATAAATACCTTTTGATTCATTGTAATCTACAGTTTTTGTTTTCTTTTACGGGAATTGATTTAGGTCATCCAAATGTTTTCTTCGATTCGTCTTTTTTTAAGGCAGTATTTTTGATAGGGATATGTTACTCGCTTACCTCTGCCATATCAGATAGGAGTTTAGCCACCAAATGAGCGTGTTTCTTAATGGTTTCTCCGCGCATAAACCAAGCTGCGGGCGGCGTTGGTACCACACTGCTTCCCATTACCACTGTGGAAGGAGTTGCCCCACCGGCACCTTTCACCTTCACCTGTACAGTGATCGCCTTGCCCAGGTAGCTCACTAAATGGTCCAGCAAAGTCACCCTACAAGCACAGATCAGCTATAATATCATAATATACTCATCAGAATTCATGCAATCAAAATAACATGTATGCGTTTCTGTTTTTCTCAGACACGTCATATTTAATTTAAGTTTCATAAGATTCAGATGTGTCTTACTTTGAGTTACTTTTTTGTCTCTTTATAGAGGTCTAATAATCTACTCAACATTTAAACATACAAACATGCACGTTAATTCACATACCTAGTGCTAAGATTGTTCCCGTAGTTAATTGCTATTAAAGCCTTCTGTGGTTTAATTTCTGATATCATTCTTCGTAGCAGGGATATAACCTGTAAAAGAGATGTTTTTTAAAACAAAATGGCTGTAGATCATGCATTTCTTCAGGGCAAAGCGTAGGTGCTTTACAATACACTTTGAAAAATAATTTACGAATACATTCAATCACTTGGTTATTAAATCTTATGGCTTAGTACACTTCAAAAATAAAGTCTAAACGAGGTTTTAAGGCCCCATTACCTAAAAAATAAAAGTAGGTATTTCTCGATTGGAGCTTTCAATTATTCAAGGCTGCGATAACTTTTTACATAATCCATTGATAAAAGAAACTACTGGTTTTAAAACTTTTTGTTATCCTATTCACAATTTAATTTTATCAAATTAGTGGTGTGACCAAAAAAACTTTTTTTTTTCGCTAAGTATAATTACAATAATTGGTTGTAAAAACTTACTTGTCTCTGCACCCGTTCGCTGCCCGTGTGCAAGAGTGCGAGTAAATCTGCCAATAACTCAGTGCGTTGGGCGAGATGCGCGCACCCTACTGCACTTCCGCTTAGAGCTAACAGCTGGATACGAAACCAATGGATGTTATTAAAGCACAGGTAGATTTTTCTGTATGTGCCTACCATATTTAATTATTAATTGTTATAAGAAGAAATAGCATAATGCAAATGTCATATTTTTATAATGAGTCCATTTGGAAAAACTCGGAAGTCGTGAATGTCTAATTATAATTTTATAAGTTAGGAATTGTTCGCAATGTTAGCACCGAAATCGTAGTAACTTTTGTTAGAGTAAAAAAACCTAGTGTTTGACACGTCCCATCTCAGTGCGGACATCTATCTATGCGGAAGGCCTATGATCAGCAACGAGTTTCATATGGTTAAATGATAAGGACAATTGCGCTATCAATCATACAAGTTTAGGGATTAAGAAATTAGCTTCTACAACCGTGCTTAGGTCATATAAATTAATTGTTATCTAATATTACGAGTTTCTCACTCTATTGTTATAGCAAAAAAAGAATCACGACAACAATACATTTAATCAACCTTACAACTTTATTTAGTATCGAACTTTAGGACTCAGCAGTGGGTGTCGTATGGTTGTATGATGAAGAAAAGTACCTGAAAGTTTTATATAAGGATTGAAAAAAAATCTCTTATTCGATGAAAGGTAGACGTTGCTCACCAGGGAAAGCATTTCGAAGCAGTAATTATCTTGAGCATGCGCGTGCACCGTGGGTCTCAGCGTTTCGTCATGCCTCTCGGCGGCTTCGGCGCACAACAATACAGTCTCCCAGTCGTCGCGCACCCGCGCCGCCTCGTGCCCGATCGCGTACACGATGTGAGACATTACCTTATAAAGAAAAACATACCGATATAAAGAAAGCGGCAACGATTAGAAATGAAATGGAATACGAACTGCGCTAAAAAGTGTTAACACGCAAATTGCGAACAAGTGGGGAGGGCGAAAGAACTACGATCGACACGCCGATCATGGGATTGGTAGGGATTTCCGTTTAACATTATCTTACCCAATGAATGGATAGCCGAATTCATTTGTAGATATTTGATTTGTTAAAGTATTTTGTCTGTGTGCGTGTCGCATTAATATTAAGTTTAGTTGTATGAGCTTGCAACCATGATTTAATGCTCTTTTTTAGAGAGTAATACCCTCATATCATTTCTAATTCGTTGAAAGGCGCTTAAAAAATAAAAAGATTTAACTCCCGAGAAAGCGAGAAAATACCACCAAAACTTACACGAACTATTGGCCGCTCGATTGCTTCGTCTTTTACACTTATCTGCTCAATTTGTGAAGAGTAGTGCATTCTCTATGTCTATGGGTACACCGTATTTCCAGATTGAATAAAAGCACTCGTCTGGGGAAGTAACACAAGGTATGTACGGGCGGCACCCAAGCACAGAGCTAGGTCACAATCAAACGTCATTAGTCTGAAGCACAAATTGACGTTACGTTTACAGGCATTGCCACGCAGTTAAAAAAAGAATATGCTATTTGACTATAAAATTCATTTAGGAGTATCAATTCACATAACATGAATTTAGGTAGCGATTAAACTATTACATTGTGAGCACCTACAAATGTTTCTGAAACCATCTGGTTCATTAAGAGGTTTTCACTGTCTGCACGGGAAGTTCTAATCCAGCCAGAAAATAATAATAACGAAAATTAGTCGAACTTGTCCTCGATGGTGCTACAAATAAATAAGCTTGATTAGAGAGAAAGAGATGTCATACAAAAACTACAATCATATATTTATACATCATAATATATTTATATCAAATCTCTAAACGCCCACATATAAAATTATTTACGTCTTTCGAAATTCAACAGTGAATAGAAATAAATAATTTAGGGCAGAGTTGTTATGATTACTATTCATTACCAATGTAAATAGATGAGTAAATAATTAGGAAATCGTATAATCGATAATGTCTCATAGGATATTATTATATTACTATCCTATGACACATTATCGATTATACGATTTCCAGATATTTCGATATGTGGTTTAACGCTGAATGAAAGGAGGTGGCACCAAGAACAAATGTAAGAAATGCTATCAGTCAAATTGGTTCTTATACATGTTACCTATGTTTTGTTTCTACCTGTCTCTGTAGAGAAGTAAGCTTATATATATTCCACAAACAGTATCTCATTATTGTAATTTTTACGTGAATACGAAGATACATGCCACGAAGTGCTATCAGTCAAATTTATTCTTTTTGTCTAGAATCTAAATCTTTCGACACACGCGGTTTAACATGACATTAATAAATGAGCCCTATGTTTGGTTCTAAACTGTTGTGAAAAATATAAATTAATTTGATTATAGTTTTAAAGCATACTTTGTGAAAGTTACGTAGTTTAAGTTATGTGGTCATCCAGCCAGTTCCTCTCACCTTTTCGTGCCAACCACAGGCGCGGTCATTGTACCGTGTCTGTTTAGCAGTAGTTGTAGTTGCACATAGGTGAGCTTGACTACCACAAACAGTATTCCAAACTTGTAATTTTTAATGTGGAAACGACAACTCGTACTACGAGATGCTATCAATTGGTTCTAAGATGTTTAACAATGCGGTTGATGCGACATGCGGTTTAACATGAGATTAAATTTGTGTTTTCTAAGTTTTGTTCCTACTTGTCTCTGCAGAGAAGTGAGCTTGTGTCCCGCGAACAGTATTCCGACTACGTGTTCCCGCAGGTCTGTGTCGTTAGTGGCGGCGTCGTCGACGGCCACCGGTCCTTCTCCGGAGTCAATGCTGCTCCGTTCCCATTCCAATAGCTTTCCGAACACCTTTTGTATTAAATAAATTTAACATTAGTACAAATGTTAGTGTGGTATTAAAGAATGAAGCAAAGAACTGGTGTTAACGAAATCATAATAATCAATCATGGCTTAAGTCTCCATTGTGAAAACCGTTGGCTTTTTATAGGATTCAGTGTGTTGTCATTTAACTTTATTCACAATACGTTGACGCTAAACTGCTAATAAAAAAAAAACACTTAAACGATCGCTAATACGGTGATGCCGCCTCGCACTGGGCTCGGAGCCGCTAGCACGCGCGCCTGTCTGTAGTGTGTGCAGCACCTGCGAGGTGAGCAGGCGGAACACGCGCAGCGCGTCCGCTTCGGAGACGCCGTGCAGCACGCGTGTCGGGGCCGCAGCGCCGCCCAGCACGGGGCCCGGCGCCGCCAGCACGCGCACCTGCCGCACCCGCACCGCCGGCTCGGCGCCGCGCAGCTCGCACCGCACACGCACGCACGAGCTAGACAATCCTACAACAACATTGCAGAGTGGTAAGTAAGTAATGAAAGATCGTTATAACTGAGGTCTCTTACAAAAGACCACAGTAAGAAACCACTACCTTTTGGTGGTGTTGTGTTTCTGTTAGTGAGTAAAGTTCCAAGGGCTCGGAGTTGGGTCAAAAAAGGCAACGGCGCGTGTGATATTTTTTGTATCGCTCATGTCTATAGACGAGCCATATGCTTCTTTTATTTGCCACCCTTTTAACATAAAAAAACATGTTTAAAAACAATTATAACTATAATTGCTATTCCTTCGTTTAAATGTTTAATACTTGTATTCATATGACATTGTGGGTAACCTACAATGTGAAGAGATGGCGCTGCCTTGCAGCTTTGGAGAGGATAGAAAGAATTCGACTCGGCCATCAGGGCCGCGGTTGCATAATGGTCAGTGCTTTCGCCCGGATAGCGAAGGGTGCGGGTTCGAGGCCTGCCTGCTGCCTGGTCCGAGTGGAGTTTTTTCTAGTTATATTTTCTTTAGATTTAAACATCGAAATTAGTGCTTAAAAATAAACATTATAATGTATGGATAATTACTACTACGGTCCTAATTATAGACATGGGAATTGATCTGAGCGACATCACATAAAATAAACAAGTCTATAGAAAAAGGGAAAACGATGATGCAGCCAGTTGTGGACCGGAAAAGCTCTGTCCATTCTCTATATTTATGGTTTAAATATATTGAGAGAAAGGCCGTTTTACTCACTTAAGGGTGAGTAAAACGGCACTCACGCTTAACCTACGAAATTATTATATATATTAGTCACACATGCTTATCCTAAAAAGAGCATTTTTGGTCTGGTTGCCGCAAAAGAGTACAGAACCCAAACCCCATCTTCAGTAGTTCTCCAGGTCAGAACGATATGAGGACCACCACAATCCAAATAAGTAATTTTGTACCAGAGTACACAAGTGCTTGACAGAGCAAACCCTAAAAGTCTCAACAGATCTGTCGCTTGACAGTTTAAAGTTGATAATTATACAAAGTAGGGGGCGTCCATAAATTACGTGAGATGTTTAAGGGGGGTCCAGTCAAATCTCATCTAATCTTACGTTGGAGAGAGGGGTAAGAGGGTCTCGGCAAATATAACGCTTTTTTTCTGATTGAAATAAAAGAAAAATTGTATTATTTTGGCCCATTTAATCCAGGTTTTAAGATTTAATCTTAAGCGTAAGTAGATATTCTTTTTTTAATCACAGTAGTTACGATTTAAGTATTCTATTGTTAAAAGACAATGCCGGAAATTGGCGCCTTTTTTTTCACGCGGCCATTGACCAAACCTTGTTATTTAGGTAGAGGACAATGTAACAAACAAAACTTATTATGTCATGTATATCGCTAAACTCAGTCCGAGCTGAGTTATAAAGGTTAGAAGAGAAAAAAAATTTTCCTTTTTTTGCGCATATGTTGGTCAAACCTTGTTATTTGGGTATAGACGAATGTAACAAACAAAACTTATTATGCCACGTATATCGGTAAACTCAGTCCGAGCTGAGTTATAAAGGTTAGAAAAGAAACAAATATTTCTTTTTTTGCGCAGATTTTGGTCAAACCTTGTTATTTGGGTATAGACTAAAGTAACAAACAAAACTTATTATGCCATGTATCTATATCGCTTAACTCAGCCCGGGCTGAGCTATATAGGTTAGAAAGAAAAACTTTTTTTTTTCCGCGCTGATTTTGATCAAACCTTATTAAATCGGTATAGAATAATGTTACAAACAAAACTTAGTATGCCTATATAACTTAACTTAATTCGAGCCAACCTTGACAAATGGGTACAAAATAACGTAACAAGCAAAACTTATTATATTTATTATAACATATGCGCGGTCTGGCTTTGTTGTTTGACTTGAGACAAAGACTACCGATACTTCCCTCTTGTTTACACTTCGTAGTCCGTTTGCCGAAATTGAGGCTATGTACTAGATGGGAAGGGGGTCCGTGTGAAGTGTGAGTCTATCTAATCGCTACGCCGCCACCCCCCCCCCCCCCAACCGCCACCCGCTATCATCCAGTTTGTGGCCAGAGAACTCCCTTCCCCGCCGTCCTGCCACCCGCCACCCCGCCGCCGCCACTCATCACTCACCGCTCTTCCGTTGTGTAGTGTGCGCGTGCGTTCTTTCGATTATTTTAGTGGATTATTTATACCGGATTTGGCTTCGTTCTATGGTATTACGATATTGATTGCGTAAGTGACGAACTGGATTATGTTTTATTGACTGACATCGATTGCCTTACTGTGACCAATTGGTTAGTGTTTTTTACGGACTGATATCGATTGCTGGTCGATCGGCTTGCTTGTGGTACCTGATTAAAGTTTATGTAAGGAAGGAAAATGGAGAGAAGACCACAGTGCATTTCTTGCCGGCTCAGTCTTGGTCGATCCAACAATCGACTGCGAAGATCATACGTTTTAACTCCAGACTACATACAACGGCACGCATTTATATTGGATTATTTGGCAGACATCAGACACGTTAGAAAGGTATGTGATGCATTACATTAACTACATTATATTTTTCATCTAAAAACACAAATAATATTGTTTTGTCTGCGAGAGGAGTGAATAAATTAATATTATTATTTGTGAATTGTTAATTTTAATATAACTACGTAAAACCACTCAAGCGCAAATTGATTGTAATTATTATAAAACGTGCTACCCTTAATAATAAGATAGAATGTATATTTCCTTTAATCCCCCACTACATGACAGATACCGTGTTACTAGATAATATAATATAATGTCGACATTTCCGTAACGAATTGACATTGGTTTGCACTCTTTGCAATGATATTTTCAATATAATGTCCATTAGCCACCATTACATTTTTTTTAATATTTGTGATAAATAACAAATTATTTGAATATAAATCACAGTAAGGAACAGAAAATCATAACTTAGTCCCCTTAAGAGACTAATTACGGTCTAATTAAGGCGTATGGCACAACAAAATGGCGGAGTCGAGGCGGCTTCGAGTCGCGCGCGGTAGCGCTAAATGCGCCATCACCTCGACTTCGCCGCCATTTTGTTATTCCTTTTTCGGGCGTTTACAAAGAAATGAGTAAAAGAAAAAACAATCGCCCACGCCTCGACTTTGGCTGTGTGCTATGCGCCTCCGTAGACTTTTTAAATATCGATATTTTATACATACTGAGCTGTCAAACAAGAAATTACAGATTCTAGTTTATAATTTTGGTCCAAAATAAAACATAGTACATTCCTCAAAGTCTACATTTAAAGACTTTTATTTTCTATAGGCGGCATCACTTCTGGGAGAATAGACATTTAATTTTTTAAATACCTACTTTTGTTTGTGAAATCCTATTAAAACTTTAATAGGCGTGTCGACAGTATGACATTATCAAAGATTTAATGACTTTAGAGGAAAATACACATTCAAAGGATTTAAAAAACTGATTTAGTTTTATTTAAAAAATTGAGATTAATAAGATTTTCAATAAAATAAAAGAGTAAAATACTGCAACCGGCCATTTTGAATGAAACACCAATCACAGCGCATGACGTCATACTTATGTAAGCTTCACTGTGTTTTGATTACCTTACATACTGATTGCGCGTTACGATTGATATATATTTGTTTTTGTGATTTATCGACTTTACAACACGAATCTATCTATAACAATGGAACCAGGCTTTGTTAAGGCAAACAGTGCAAATTTGCCCAGGATCGATTTATTGATGTTGGGCGAGTTCCTTGCAAATAATAAAGAATTTTGCTCTTCCGAATTTAGAAACGTGAAAACCTCTTTGTAAGTATATTTTATTGTATTTATCTTTAACACTAGATACAAATATGACTAAATAGCAATCAGACTCGTTTTAAACTCGTAGAAGTTTATTTCGTTTTACTTTTATAGGTTATTTTTACAATAAACTTGTCTTCGTTTATGAGGTTAGCTCCCTTACAGTATAGGTATGTTTGCTAAACCAGTTATTAACTAACAAAACGAGAAAATTTGTATAACTTCGAAACACCTAAATATGAGAAGTGATGGTAGTTTTAGACTTTAGGTGGACACACAACATTTTTGTCTTCTAAATAATTCTACATTCAAAAATAAACATGTTTGATTTGACAGTATGTATGTATTTGTTCTAATTAATTTCTATTATTTCAGATCTTCAAGACCTTCATATGGAGATGATGCAATTAGTTATGTGCAACTAAAACGGGAAGGAAACATTTGCACAGTCAAATGCAAGATTTGCCCCGAGCATAAAGTCCATGCAAAACTATATGCTGTTACACTGATAGTTGATGAAGATGAAGAAAAAGTAACATCAATTGAATGTCATGATTGTGTTGCTGCCCAGGGTGGGTGCAAACATGCCATAGCTCTACTTATGTGGGTCCATAGACGAAGTGAAGAACCTTCATGCACAGAAGTCCAATGCTACTGGCAGAAATCAAAGCTGTCAAGAGTTGGCACTACCTTGAAATTTATATCTGCCAAAGATTTATCTAAAGGTAGCCCTATGTTGCCTTCTAACTACACAGTCCTTGAAAAATTTTTAGAGGAAGGAAAAAAGAGAAATCTTGGTAACTGCGAGCTACTAAAGTACCAACACAATTATAATGATGATGAATTATTTAGTGTCTCAATGCACCAACTGGTCTTTAAATATAAAACGGAATGTTGTGACTTATTTTTAGGTAAAGTCAATTTGACAGTAGACCTTATTAATAAAATTGAAGCTGAAACCAGGGACCAGTTCAAAAATAACCTCTGGTACGAACTCAGGTATGGCAGAGTAACAGCTTCTAAAGCTTATGAAGTGAGTCGGTGCCAGACCAATGATGGGACTCTGATTTCTATTATCATGGGGGGTAAGATACCAGATACAGCAGCCATGAAACGGGGTAGATATTTAGAAAATGAGGTAAGAGAAATTGTTAGCAAGAAACTAGGGAAAAATATCAAGAATTGTGGTCTCTTCATTTCTCAAAAATACCCAATGCTAGCAGGTTCTCCTGATGGGTTATGTCAAGATAGCATTGTGGAGATAAAATGCCCTATAAGCAATAAAACTTATGTAAATTATGTAAAAAATGGAAAACCCAGCAAGAAATGCTTTGCCCAAATACAAATGCAAATGTACCTAAGTGGACTAAAAAAATGTTACTTTTGTGTTGCAGATCCCAATTTTTCCATTAATAAAAATGTAGAAATTATATGCATAAACTTAGATGATGAATATTTATCAAGTTTACTTGAAAGTATTATACAATTTTGGAAATCCCATGTATATCCATTGTTATATAAAAGTGTAGAATAGGAAATAAAAATGCAGAAATTTAATCATTGTTTTATTTAATAAGAGAATCTTGTATATTAATTAAACCACAGGCTATAGTTATTACATCATCAAGAACTTTAACCAAACTTAAGTTAAGACATGCATGTGGTTTTAACATGTTGAATTCACGTAATCGACGTATTACCCGCTCAACATGAATACGTAAGCTAGCTATTTGTTTAGTTTCTTTGGCTTCAGCTTTTGTTAACTTGGCTCCAGATACAACACTTGGAGGCCGTACTAATAGCACACCCATTTTACGTAAATACACTTCCACATGTTTAAATCCTCTGTCTGCCATAACGCACATATTAGGTTGCAAACATTTAGAGAAATCTGAAGTTTCCACAATGCATGTGTCTGTTATTCGGCCTCCATAACCATATGAAATATAGTTGATTAAACCATTAG